CCAGCAGCAAAATAACGGGCTATGCAAAAGGTTATAAGCAAATTCTAGGATTAAATAGTGTACACTCAACTAATTAATACTCCAACCGGATCACACAGTACTCACAGCACCCTTTAATTTGACCATCTCATACATTTGTTAAACGCTCTAGGAGTGTGACATTATTCAGTCAGGTCCGTAATTACACACGGTCTTAGAATGATGTTTTCATTTATCATTACTGCACCAGGAAAATAATTAGGGATAGGATAGGCCAACAGCGACAATAACAAATGAGCGGTCGCACCTCAGAAATACTAGTAAGAGTGTACATGGTAATATTTTTTGTGTAAGGCTACACAATTGTGACTCGGACAGAGATAACCAAGTGGTGCGACGGACGTAAACTGATGCCTGCGGAATGAAAAATCAAAGAGACTCTGATATGGTTCACTACATCCTTGATAATATTTAGCACCACAGTTAGAAAGATTAGGTTAGTATAACGAAAAGAACTGAACCCAGGATGATACTGAGATATTTGATAAGATATTGAATTACAGAGACCAGCTGCTAAAAAGCAATTCGTAAAAGCAAAACAGACAGGATATTGCAGCACTAAATGAGATGTACAAAGGGGGTGTAGGAGTACAGAGTTACAGAGGCTTATAAAAGGAGGCAAAGGACGAAGCACTACTGCTCAAAAAAATGAAGAGTATAAAGCCATAATCCCCAGAAAGCTCTAGTGGCAAAACTAATAACAGTTGGGGTATAGACCATATGCCAGTAGATAGCTAACACTAGTACTCACTAGCGATAATGAGGTATGCCACGAACATCTAGGTGGCAAATTGCTTTAATTCCAGACTACACTCGCATCTGTTGCATCAACACTAGTAAGTAACTACGCAGCGTGCATCAAAATACTTTAACACAGACTCCTGATAAGTTTCCAAACATACTATAACAATAAAAGGGGGTAACCCCAAAAATCGTTGTCAACTAGGTAAGTGTATCTCTCATGACTTTTATAAAAGCAGGAACTGCAGTGTTAAAACCCCAATAAGAGCACAGGCCCTGATAACATCGTCTAAGTTCCTAAAAGATGGTGCTTCTGAACTGTCAATCCCTATTGCTCACATAATAAAATCTATCAATCACCCTAATACAGTACCGCGAGGGGGTTCAAGGAGGCCAGAGTCAACTACTATCTTCAAGAAAAATAGTAGGTCGGTATGTGTAAGCATAACTATAGGCCTGTTGTATATCAAGTATAATATCTAGTGAAAATTCTAGATTGATGGGGTCTCGCTGGTGTGGTTTGTTGGCTGAGATTGTGTTGAGTTTAAAGTGAATTCCTGTGTTGGAGTGAAATGAGACTCGCATAACTCTCAAATTCTCCATAGCCTAATCAATCGGGCCCCCCTCTGGAAGGTTCCTTGATTGTTGGTGAGGGGCTCTGGATTGGAGGAATTTGGTCTGTGACTCCAGTTCCTCCGATTAAGCCTGAAATGTCTTCCACAGTCCCCCTCCCTGGGCGAGCGGTATATCCTACGGGTGTAGCGCTTCCCCCTGATTATAATAATAATATCAATCGGGCTTTAAGAAGAACCTACTCAACCGACACCGATTAATCTGAGTGGATACCTTGAGAGAACTGAAATGTCAAAGGGGAAACATCATAGGATGGTAACATTAGACCTGCAAAAAGGGCCTTCGATACTGTCAACGCACAATGTGTGAAACTTCAGCTATTGGTATAGGTTCTGTAGACTGGTTTTAAAGTCCTACCTTAGCAACAGGAGACAAATAGTCAAAATCGACTGAAACAGAATCAGAACCCCTGCCGATAACATCGTGGAGTTCCTCCAAGGTAAGTATTCTGGGTCCGTATTATTTCTTATGTTATGTCAATGCATATGCCTCTTCAGTGTTCAAGGTTGCAAACTCCTACTGTATGCAGATGACAGTGCTCTGTTAGTGTCGGTAAAGAAACCACAAGGCAAGAGATTGCTAATGTTTTAAACACTGGAAACTGGAGTCCTGCAGCAAATGGTTAGTAGACAACAAACTACTCATTACACCTAGGGAAAACGAAGGCATTCATTGGCACGATAACATAAACGTGGAGGGTAAATAATTAATTAATGTTCAATGTAATGTGGGAGCCCATCACTTTGGTTTCATCAGAACTATTTCTCTTATTCCGGGAATCCCGCCTTTGATCCCATGCATGTCAGGAGAATTGATTAGGAGAAGAGTGAAGTAAGAAGCGAATGCAAACTGAAGTTCACGCGCTCTAGACATGCACCAGTTGGTCTACCTACTGAGGCTCAGCAGGAACCTATGTCTATGCTCCGCATTATACATTGACATATGGATTACGCTTTTGCTCTTCTTGGTACTTCTGCCTTGACAAAAAAAAACTGAAAGAGTAGAATCTGCAAATCCCCAGACAAAATGTTGTGTAAGATTCATCTGCGGGCTGGGACCAAGAGAATTGTAGGCCAGCGATGAATTACAGCAGTTGGATATGTGCTGAATGTTGAAGACAGAGTATAGAGAACAACTGAAGCTAATCATGTTTATAAAATTGCTCCACAAACAATGTCCAGAATAATCTTGCTGTCGTATTGTTTTGTCCAAGGTTGGGAACCAAAGCAAATCATAGTACTAGGGGGGTGACGAGAGCACAACTTTGTAGTTACCCACAGTCAGTGGCCAGGCTTCAATCACCTTTTTATTGTTTACAGCAATAAGAGGAATGGAACAGACTACCCGCACATGTCAAAAGCGTCATAGCGTGGAACCAGTCTCAAGAAGTGTTAAGTGCCAAAAGGTGTCTGATTGCAATGTAGCGTTACAGAAAGGAGCGGGGAATTGGATTTTCTATTTTTTAGCTAACATTAACGTGTTAAATTTTTACATTATTCCTTGCTAATTGTACCCTCGTATTGTAGATAGTCTTAATGTACCTTGGCTGTAGCCGATAGTCTTTTTTTTTGAGTATGATTAAGATGTTTATTCGACGACTCTCGCTGTCTAGAATAAATAAGAAAATATTATAACCTTATATATAATAATTAGGTAAAAGGACCCAATGGGAAATAAGTCCTGTCTGGACTGTTTTGGGTGTATCCTAGGTTTCTTCACATTATGCTTCTATGTATGTAATTCTATGTAACTGTTATTTGTGTATACCTGAATATAAACTTATTACTTACTTACTTATACCATTGCAGACACTTGCAAAGCTCCAGGCGGACATCAACCAAATCTTTCAGTGGGAAGCAGGAAAACAATATAAAGTTCAACGATGAGAAATTTCTATTACTCAGAATGGTAAAACATGTGGAAATTAAATCTTCATCAGAGTACAACAAAATTCTGGCAACAAAATAGAGCGAAACACCAACGTCAAAGACCTGGGAGTGGAGTGATCCATTGTCGGAGGATCTCACCTTCAAGGGACCATAACATTGTATCAATGGTCGATGGCTAGAAATATGACAGGGTTATGGATAATGAGGAACTTCAAAAACTAGGGAAGGCCAAGCCCATGATGACACTCTTCAGGTCACTTGTTCTTACTAGGCTGGAATATTGCTGCACACTAACAGCTACCTTTTCAAGGCCAGGTGAAATTGTCGACCTGAAAATGTACAAGAGAACTTTCACGGCGCGCATAACGGGAGATAAACACCCTCAATTATTGGGAGCGCTTGAGGTTCCGAAACCTGTATTCCCTGGAACGCCAGGAGGGAGACGAACATGATTATATACACCTGAAAATCCGTAGGAGGGACTAGTACCCGAACTGCACAAGAAAATCACTCACTACGAAAGCTCAGAAAAGACTTGGCGACGATGCACCATCCCCCCAATGAAAAGCAGGGGGTACTAACGTTAAGAGACCATACATAATGTCAGGGCCCCGAGATGTTCAACTGCCTCCCACCCACAAAAAAGGGGTTTTCCCAACAGCCCCCTGGCAGTCTTCAAGCGGCAGGACAAGCACCAAAGTCATTTTCCTGATCACCCGGGGGCTGTGGCTCGTATTTGGTTTGCGTGCCCCAGCAGCAACAGCTGGTTGATCGGCTCTGTCCACCAAGGGGCCGGGTCACAAAAACCGGGCCGCGGGGGCGTTGACCCCGGAAACTCTCCCCGGGTAACCCCAGGTGTATAAATGGAAAACAGGAAAAAAATAAAGGGGTGTAAAACGTGCTAAAAATTTTCCCAGCCATGACGGGATCGGCGCAATTGTTTCAAGTTGGGAAAAAATTTTCGATTCAGGAATGTTTTGGGGAAACAGGGTATGGAATGAGTTGGGGATTTTGGGAAAAAAACCCCCGAGTCATTATTGAGGCTAAAAAACGTTGTTAGTTTTTAAAAATAGGTTAGTAAACATGATGGGTTGGGTGGGGGTGTGAGTTAAACCGACTAGCTTGTGCTGCTGGGTTGGTGCGGGGGCCCACCCTTGAGTGGGAGACCCGGCTGGGGGGGCATTGGGATTATCCGGGGGGGAAACAGGACCACCCCCGCTTGGACTGGCTGTCGCAGTGTTCCTTCTTTTTACTTTTTAAATCCTAGCCGGTTAGGTGTCCTAGGGGCCCCTCTGAAATTTTGTATTTTTAAAAGAAAAACCCCAATCCCCAAAAACCCTGAAACCCCACTTTGAAACCCTTAAATTTGAATTATCCCAAATTTTGGCCCATGAATGGCAATCGGGAAACCCCTGAGCCTGGGGTTTACTGCAACACCCAAAAATAATTTTAGATGATTTGATATATTAACTTTTACCAAAAAAGATTGCTAACAAATATCAGTAGAATTTATTCAGTAATGTTGTTTAGTGTTTCTTGTTTTATTTTTTCTTCAGGAGCGTATGGAAGTGATTACATTGTAATGGTATCCTATGCATTTAAATCATACTACATGGCTTTATTTGGATACAACAAGCTACATATCACACGTTTATGAATGTAATGATTACAACCGCAATGAAAACATTGCAGAAAGTGAATACAGCAGCTTGTAAAGCCATCAGTGGTGATGATTGAAGATTACATGGAGTAGGCGAAGTCTTAGCCAGAGACTTGGAGGCAAGGGTTGAGAGACGTGGAGCATCATAGAAAACGTGTGAGAGCGACCCATCACTCCACTACCTCCTCCATCTCCATTATACTCGGGAAAACTATTTTCTCGCAACTGTGAGTACATTTCTGGTAGATTGTAGCCCGTGTAGGTGTAGCTACACCCCTGAGACACTGCCTGCGTCTCGTCTTAAGGTTGAGATCAGAGAGTTCGCTGCTGGGTTGATTTGAAGGCGGAAAATAGTTTTTGTGGTTGCAACAAGTCAGGAGTCCAGAGGTAGCTTCTCCATTACGTACTTTGTCCACTTGTACTCCAGGTCGAGTCCATGGCGGAAAAAATGTCTTGTACTTGGTACTCGTACCGCGTTAACTAGGTAAAACAAGGGTTTTTCTAGGGCAGGTGTTGGGTTTTTCTGGGGTACGTGTTGGGTTTTTCTAGGGTAGGTGTTGGGTTTTTCTGGGGTAGATGTTGGGTTTTTCTAGGGTAGGTGTTTGGTTTTTCTGGGGTAGGTGTTGGGTTTTTCTAGGGTAGGTGTTGGGTTTTTCTGGGGGAGGGGTTTGGTTTTTCTGGGTAGGTGTTGGGTTTTTCTAGGGTAGGTGTTGGGTTTTTCTGGGGTAGGTGTTGGGTTTTTCTGGGGCGGTGTTGGGTTTTTCTGGGTAGGTGTTGGGTTTTTTCTGGGTAGGGGTTGGGTTTTTCTAGGGCAGGTGTTGGGTTTTTCTGGGGTAGGTGTTGGGTTTTTTTGGGGTAGGGTGTTGGGTTTTTCTAGGGCAGGTGTTGGGTTTTTTTAGGGTAGGTGTTGGGTTTTTCTAGGGTGGTGTTGGGTTTTTCTAGGGTAGGTGTTGGGTTTTCTGGGGCAGGTGTTGGGTTTTTCTGGGGGAGGTGTTGGGTTTTTCGGGTAGGTGTTGGGTTTTTCTAGGGTAGGTGTTGGGTTTTTCTAGGGTAGGTGTTGGGTTTTTCTAGGGTAGGTGTTGGGTTTTTCTAGGGTAGGTGTTGGGTTTTTCTAGGGTAGGGGTTGGGTTTTTTTTGGGGTAGGTGTTGGGTTTTTCTAGGGTAGGTGTTGGGTTTTTCTAGGGTAGGTGTTGGGTTTTCTAGGGTAGGTGTTGGGTTTTTCTGGGGTAGGTGTTGGGTTATCCCAGGTTAATTTCTTTTTTAATTTTACAGGCTAAGACCTGTTATGTTACCTCAGCTTGTGTGAAAGCCCAGCTGTAAGGTATACTACCGCCCCCAGGCTGCAATCCTCAACAGTCGACTAACACCCAGGTACCTACTTATGCTAGGTGAACAGGGATAACGTATGTAAGGAAACGTGCCCATCGTTTCCACCCATGCAAGGATTCGAACTGTGGCCCCTCAGTATGTGACCTAGGATAGTGTGGTATCCCAGGTTAAATATTGGGTTACTTAATATTATATAAGATTAAGATTCTTTATATCCAATACACAAATAACCCGCTTTAGAAAATATAATCAGAAAGCCCATAGGATGCACAGTATTTTGGGAAAAAAAACTTGGTCTAGCTGTAAGAATTATGTGGTATGATTTATTTGGGAATCTGTACATGGTATTAACAGGAAGTTAATAAAAAATCGTCTTGAAAAAATGGCGAGTCATTCATATATGAACTCATCTTCAGATAACTTCTTTTGCATTACATTTTATCAGCATACATAGTAAAAGTTAGGTACAACACTTGTACATTCTGTGTGAAATTCTCAGCAAAATAACATACATGTATATTGAAACATGGTTCAATATATGCTAGTAGAAAAAACAGAAACAAGTTGAGGAGGATGAAGACTGTATGTGTTTGAACATAGTTGTTGCTATCATTTATCACTGGGGAAATGAGGTTCATTTTAACAATAGTTTTGAAGAGATTGGGAGATAGGAAATACCAGATAGAAACACCAGGAGGCCTGGTCACAGACTGGGCCGCGGGGGCGTTGACCCCTGGAACTCTCTCCAGGTAAACTTGGAATATTCTTCCTTGATGTTGGTGAGGGGCTCTTGATTTAGGGATTGATCTGTGTCTGCAGTTGCCCAATAAGCTGAATACCTTCCACATCCTCCCCGCCATGGCGCTGTTATAATCTTCGGGTTTAGCGCTTCCCTTGATTATAAAATTAAGTAATAATTTGGAATATTTGAGCAGTTTCAAATTTTTTGGGGTCTTTTGTACCTATTTAATTTTTACTCAGGTTGAGTTGCCTAAAAGTTTTGTTGCAGCTTTTCAGGAAGAGTTCAGAGTTGGGTTTATATTTGATTTAATTATCCTGTATATATAATAGGTACAGTAGCGAGAGTGAATGTTTACTATGTTGAGCAAGTTAAACTTTCGAGAGTGAGTGTGTTGTCTAACACTTGTGGATTATATTGTTGGCAGCTTTTGTTACTATAGGCTCAGGTGTTTATCTAGTATGGGAGAGCTCCCAGGCACAATGTCAAGGTGAAGTAAGGATGATAGAGATTGTTAAGTAATTCTGTTTGAGGTACATAGTAATGAATCTAAAGAGAAGATGTCTGTTGTGGAAACCTCTTTTGTTATGTGCCGGATATAAGTGTTGAATTTTAAATTGGCCTCAAGATAGACCTAGAAATTTTCTCTCATTTGGTCTTGAAATGAGCAAATTATTTATCAATATACGTACTGAGTTGTACATTTGAAGTTCTTTCCAAACATTATGTAAAAAAAATTTGTCGCTGTTAAGAGTGAATCTATGGTAGCTATTGATACTCTGATATCTTTTGAGCTTCTCAACTATGATTGAGAAAAACCAGATTTGAATAGGAGATAAGAGTTGTCATTTGCAAACAGAACAAGTTTTAGTACTTAAGAAGTATTGGCAAGGTCATTGATGTAGGTTATGTTAAATATTGGCTGTATTGTAAGGTCAGTAATATACATTAAGTTAAATGTTGGCAATCCTAAGTTAAATATCAAGCACCGGCCTCTGGGAGCAGAAAAATGCTGAACTCGTCAAAGGTATTTGCCATCTTTCAAAACAGCAGATAAATCATTGCCATTGAATTATTGCCAAGTCAGCGTGATGTCTATATTGAGAAAATTACTAGAGCATAATTTGATAGTATACAACAAACTCTGGTTACAATAGACTAATGGGGATGGGGTGGATTGTCCTCACTTCCATTAACCCTTTCAGGGTCCGTCCCGTAGATCTACGGCTTCACGTTGAGTGTCCAAACCGTAGATCTATGCCAAAATTCTAGCACCGTCAAATTTAGCGCGAAAGCACTCATAGGCCTACATGTGAGAGAACGGGTCTGCGTGGTGGGTGTGCGCCATGAACAAAAAATCTAGGCGCCCGCATAGCATTGTGGGAACACCGGCTCAGTTACCCATGTTCACCATGCCTCGTCGCAAGGCAGCTCTCACTCCACGGAAAATTGGGACTCTCCTCTTCCTATCTGACAGTTCTGACACTGATGGAAATGGAACTGAAGACAAATTCTTTGGCTTTGATCAGTTAGTGACCGAAAGGAATGACCAGGATATCGATAACAGTGCAGAAAACCCTGACGATCCTCAACCTTCTACCTCTGGTGTAGGCACTCCTCAGTCAGTCAGTTGTACCACAACGCAAGAGAAAACTATTATTTTCGCGTGGCCAGGCCTCTGACTTCAGTAATGATGATAGTGACGTGGATTGTGATTTTATTGCTCTTGACGATCATTCAAGTAGTGATAGTGAGGAATCATATTCACCAGTGAAGCGTCGGTATGTACGCCGCCACATGCGCTCGGGTAGTGTACCCTATGCTGTGCCCAGGGGACGGAGTACATCCCGGAGTACATCCCGTGGCCCTACACCAGGTATAGATAGTGATAGTGAGGATGATGTGGCTACACTTGGCATGGATAGACCACAGGCATCAGCAGATGGTGGTAGTGGTGATGGTAGTGCCACGGCCATGCGTGACTCACCGGCCCAGGCTGGGACCCACGCTGCTGACTCCTCAGTTCAAAGACAAAGCGGAGCGTCAGCCACCAGCCCACCACAACCACAACTACCTGCACAACCAGCCTATAATGTCCAGTATCCACCAGCAAACCGTATCTGGGATTGGCAGCAAAATCCCAATTTTGTTCCCAAGCCCCACCACTTTGATGACTCTTAAAGTGGAATTCTACCTACTTGTCCCCTTGGAACCACGGCCAATGAACTGGAATTCTTTGAATTATTCTTTGACCAGCCATTGATGGAAACTATTGTCAAGGAAAGTAATAAGTATTTTGAGTACACCATGGCAAATACGATCATATCACCACAGTCAAGACTACACCGGTGGAAAGAGACGACTGTTGCAGAAATGTATTTGCTTTTTGCAACAATAATGCTTATGCCTCATGTCTATAAGCATAATATAAAAGCATACTGGTCCACAGATCGGCTAATTTCTACCCCGGTCTTCAGTGAAATCATCCCAGTGAACAGGTTTATCTTACTGTTACGTATGTTGCACTTCTCTGACAAAACCAGGCCTGACAGAAGTGACAGGTTATACAAGATTAGAAATGTTTTTATGGATCTCAAACAAAAGTTCAGCATATACAGTGGACCCCGGTTAACGATATTTTTTCATACCAGAAGTATGTTCAGGTGCCAGTGCTGACTGAATTTGTTCCCATAAGGAATATTGTGAAGTAGATTAGTCCATTTCAGACCCCCAAACATACACGTACAAACGCACTTACATAAATACACTTACATAATTGGTCGCATTGGGAGGTGATCGTTAAGCGTGGGTCCACTGTACTTTTGTCCATTCAAGAATCTTGCAATTGACGAGTCTTTGATTTTGTTCAAAGGTAGGCTGTCATTCAAGCAGTATATACCGAGCAAGAGGAAACGCTCTGGTATAAAACTGTTTGTACTCTGGGGATTTGACAGGGCCTGGTTTTGGGATTTTGGGTTTTTAAACGGGAAAAAAAACGTTGAAAGAAACCAAGTTGTTTTGGGTATCCCCGGTGACGTAGCGAAAAAGCATGAGGGGCCCTTATCTTGGTAAGGGGCATCCCATTATGAAACCGATAACTGGACAAAAGCCCTTACTAAGTGTTTTTCTTCCCGAGTGAACAAAGACAGATGTGTGTGG